CACTCCACTTAGGCGGCCCAGGGTGCATGGGTTCAGGTCCCAGGCATGGACCTACACATTGCTTATCAAGCCATGCTGTGGCAGGCGTCCCACATATAAAGTAGAGGAATATGGGCACGGATGTTAGCCCAGGGCCAATCTTCCTTAGCAACAAGAGGAGGATTGGCAATGGATGTTAGCTCAGGGCTAATCTTCCTTACTAAAAAAAAAAACAAAAAAGGATCAATGACTTGAAGGTAAGACCTGAAACTATAAAGAGGAAATAACTCTTTAACTCCTAGAAGAAAATATAGGCAGAACACTCTTTGACATCGGTCTTAGAGGGATCTTTTTGAATTCCATGTCTACTCGGGCAAGGGAAACAAAAGAAACAATAAATAAGTGGGACTTCATCAGAGTAAAGAGCTTCTGCAAGGCAAACAAAACCAGGATCAAAACGAAAAGGCAATCCACCTGCTGGGAGAAGATCTTTGCAAATCATATATCCAACAAGGGGTTAATCTCCATAATATATAAAGAACACACAACAGAAAAACAACCCTATCAAAAAATGGGCCGAGGATATGAACGGACATTTTCCCAAGGAAGATATACAGATGGCCAATAGGCACATGAAAAGATGTTCAACGTCACTAATCATCAGGGAAATGCAAATCAAAACTACACTAAGATATCACCTTACATCTGTTAGAATGGCTATAATCACCAAGACAAAAAATAACAAAAGTTGGAGAGGACATCGAGAAACAGGAACCCTCATTCACTGCTGCTGGGAATGCAAACTGGTGCAGCCTCTATGGAAAACAGTATGGAGATTCCTCAAAAAATTAAAACTAGAAATACCTTATGATCCACCTATCCCACTTCTGGGTATTTATCCAAAGAACCTGAAATCAATGACCCAAAGAGGCTTATACATCCCCATGTTCACTGCAGCATTATTCACTATAGCGAAGAAGTGGAAGCAACTCAAGTGTCTCTCAACAGATGATTGGATAAAGATGTGTTACATATATACAATGGAATACTTCTCAGCCATAAAAAAAAACACAAAATCATCCCATTTGCAACAACTTGGATGGACTTGGAGGGTATTATGTTAAGTGAAATAAGCCAGACAGAGAAAGACAAACACTGTATGACTTCACTCATATGTGGAATATAAACTAACACACGGACAGAGAGAACAGTTTGGTGGTTACCAGGGGGAAGGGGGTCGAGGGGTGGGCACAAGGGGTGAAGGGATGCGTTTAGATGGTGACTGACAAAAAATAATGTACAACTAAAATTTCACAATGTTATAAACTATTATGACATCAATTAAAAAAATTAATCTCAAGTGAAAACATATGTCCGCACAAAAACTTATGGATGAACGTTCATAGCAACATTATTCATAATAGCCAGAAGTGGAAACAACGAAAATGTCCATCAACTGATGAAGAGAGAAACAAAATGTAGTATATCCATACAATGGAATGTTATTTGATAATAAAAAGGAATGAAGTACTGATACATGCTACAACATGGATGAACCTTGAAAACATTATGATAGGTCACAGAAGCCAGTCATAATGGAGCTCATGGTATATGATTCTATTTACATGAAATATCCAGAATAGGCAAATCCACAGAGATAGAAAGTAGACTGGTAGTTGCCTAGGGCTGGAAGAGGTGGAGGGAAACAGGCAGTGACTGCTAATGGGCAGGAGGTTTCTTTTGGGGGTCATGAAAATGTTCTAAAATTGATAGTGATGATGGTTGCAGACCTCTGTGAATATACTGAAAACCAATGAATTACTTACTTTAAATGGGTGAATTGTATGGTATGTGAATTATATCTCAATAAAGCTATTATAAAAAAATTCTTTGGTTTTTGAAGGACATTTTTTCTTTTGTTTTCTAAAATGTTAACATTTTTTTTGGTAGCAAAAAGGCATAAAACTCTTGGGATCTCACTATCATGTGGATACCTTCACTTAATACTATGTTCTCAAATGCCAATTTTATACCAAGAACTCAGTTTATGTGAATACATATTTTAAGATGGAAATCAAAGATTTCTCCCAAACTTGTAAGACAAGCAAATTGGAGCCACATAAGGGACATAATCTGCCAAAGTGACACTTCTTAGATCTTAATCAAGAGAGCACTTAATGGGTTTTATGGTCAAGATGCAACTTGTTGAGACGTGAAAAGGCATTAATCCATCTGGTGCTGAAAGGCCAATCCTGAGAACGAACACAGCAGTCACTTAGTAGGGCAAGGCAAAAGGGTACAACATGGTATTTATAGTAAGGGATAAAGAACTAGACTGAGAATCAGAAAATCTAGGTCTGCCACTATTTAGCTAGATGACTTCAGTTTTGTTAAACTGAAAGTTCTCTTTGCTCTGACTCCACATCTTTCATTTTCTTTTTTTGTGTGTGTGAGGAAGATTGGCCCTGAGCTAACATCCATTGCCAATCTTCCTCTTTTTGCTGAGGAAGTCCTGAGTTAACATCTGTGCCCATATTCCTCTATTCTGTATATGGGATGCTGCCACAGCATGGCTTGATGAGCAGTGCATAGGTCCGCACCGGGATCCGAACCCACGAACTCCAGGTCATTGAAGCAGAGCGTGCGAACTTAACCACTACGCCACAGTGCCAGCTCCATCTTTCACTTTCTTTTGTTGTAAAAATAGTGGTAGTAAAGTAATAGAGAAGTACCATAATCACATTCATATTACACACAGGGAAACTGAGGCAGAGAAAAGTTAAGCTGGTTTCCCCCTTTACCAGACAGATGTGGCCGAGTTGAGATTCAAAACCAAGCAAGCTGGCTGCAGAACTTGGCTCTAATCCATTTCACTACACTGCCTTTAGCACACTCTGCACGCTGGTCATCTGTCCCAGTTTGCACAATCATATCATGTTTTTTACACCTGATGCCTTTGCACACGTTATTTCTTCTGCCCAAGTTTGCCACCTAACTAGCAGTGTGATCCAGGACAAATTACTTAGCCATTCTGAGAACCAATTTTCTTTGTTTTGTTTTGTTTTTTTGTTTTGCTTGAGGAAGATCAGCCCTGAGCTAACATCTGCGCCAGTCTTCCTCTATTTTGTATGTGGGTTGCTGCCACAGCATGGCTGACAAGTGGTCTGTCCGCGCCCGGGATCCGAACCCGCGAACCCAGGTCACTGAAGCAGAGTGCACCGAACTTAACCACTACACCACGGGGCCGGCCCCGAGAACCAATTTTCTTTTATGCCAAATAGAGAGACTAATATGTATAAACCCCTCAAAGTATTGTTACAAATATTAAATTAATTGAGATAATGTATATCAAGTACCTGACACACAAGAGACATTCAAAACGTCAGTCTCCAATTGCTTCCACAGATGACACCTGTGCATTATACACCACGTTATAACTCTAGGTCAGGCCATCAGCCAAACCGTCTCCTAACTAGTTTTCCTGTTTCCAGACCTGCCCCACTCCAATTCCTTCTTTATAGTGCAGAGTACTTTTTCTACAGCCCAAAACTGATGATATATCATTCCTCAGCTTAAAATCCCTCATAGGTTCCTATTACTCTTCAGATAAAGTCTAAATTCCTAATATGGCCTATAATGTCCTAAATAATCAGAGCCCACTTACCTCTCCAGGCTCATCTCTCTACACTCCCCTTCCCACCATATCACCCCACACTCTGAGCTCCAGCCATTGTGAACTGGCCAGCTCCTCTTCCTGCATCAGGCTCCAGCTTAGACATCACTTTCTCTGGGAAGCTTTCCAAATCTTCACCTCTGTGTTAGGTGTCCTTCTTGGTGCTCTCTTGGCTATTTAAGTGCATGAAGCCTCAATTAGAATAAATGCCTCAGGGCTGGCCCCGTGGCTTAGCGGTTAAGTTCACGTGCTCTGCTACTGGCAGCCTGGGTTCGGATCCTGGGCGCACACCGATGCACTGCTTCGCTGGCCATGCTGAGGCCGCGTCCCACATACAGCAACTAGAAGGATGTGCAACTATCTACTGGGGCTTTGGGGAAAAAAAAAAGGAGGAGGATTGGCAATAGATGTTAGCTCAGAGCCGGTCTTCCTCAGCAAAAAGAGGAGGATTAGCATAGATGTTAGCTCAGGGCTGATCTTCCTCACAAAAAAATAAATAAATAAAATAAAATAAAAGAATAAATGCCCCAGAGGGCAGGCACCTTGCTTACTACTGTATCTTAAGTGCTAGAACAATGCCTGATATATAGTATATACTCAATATATATTTTCTAAATGGATGAATATGTGAATGTACATCTATTCTATCATTCTGAGCCAGATTCTCCTGATCCATATATCCCAAGACCTAGCAATGCCTACCTATTATAAAATAGGCACCACATATAAATATTTATTCAGTATTGGGCTTCAGTCTTCTAATCCGAAAAGGGGACATTTAATTCCTTCTCACTATAAAATTATTTTTCTAAGAAAGAAGGAAGACTATAAGGGACCTCTGAAATGTACAGGAACATTTATGGAAATGATAACTCCAACTGGCAGCAAGTAGGCTCTTAGTGGAAAAAGTATTAGCTTAAGTATGTTTTGATCCAATCTGTGTTTCTATTAAGCTGGCTATTTATCCTTCCCCTTATCACTAGATCAATATAAACTGTGAAATGGACACGAGTAGGAGTGTGGAGTGGCAACTCTGTCAAAGGAAGAGGGTGGGAACTAAAACTAAAATTTCAAAAAGAAAGAAATAGTTATATATAGTAGCTAATGCTGCTGATATTTTACACTTGATTTAATTACCTAATTTTCTCAAGTAATAGGATAAACACTACTATTGTTGACAATGACCAATCTCAGATGTCAAAAATGCCTAATATCACCTATGTAAAGCCCTAAGCCACATTATCATCAATTTTGAGTCATCTTGATCGCTAACCAACAATGAAAGAAAGTAAAGTAAAAGATTACAAATGACTAAGACAATTGTCTTAAAATCATTGCTAATCCTCACCATGTTTTTGGAGAATCTCCTGAAGATCCGGCTTGGAAGCAGTATCCAAAGTACTCTCCCCATCAACACTTCCTTCAGTGCCCTCTTCCACAGCTGAAGAACCTACTGAGAGAACATGAAGTTTGGTTTCCAAATCTTGAGCATCTGGCTTCAGGAAGGCAGCTGGACCATCAATGCCTAGGGGCCAAAAGAAAAGAGACAAGAGGAAAGTATTATCCACTATTTAGCTGGGTGGTTTTGGTGTATGTGATCAGAATTAAGAGCCACCAAACCATGTCACTTCTCCTCCTTCCCTAACATCCACGAGGGCAGTTGTTGAGAGTAATTCAGGACCAGTGTTCACTTTATTAACATGCTCTCTTACTTGAATGTACTTGATTTGTGCTTTAGAAACTTAAGAATGAGAGCATGACTACGAAGTAGGTCCTTCAAAGTTCAGATCCTGTCCAAGGCAATAGCTCAGGCAGCTTGATTTGGAGGTTCGTAATCCTATTCTTCTTCCCCTCACTATCTCAGATGATCCTCTGAGTCCTATCTATTGGAAGAATGGATGCTCTCTACCTACTCCTGGCTTCAGGGTTGACTCTGCCATGATGTAACAATCAAGACTGTAAGCTCCTCAAATAGGCCATTTTGGATTAATCAATTTGGCATTGAAAACAACAAATCTGGGATGGACATGAACTTTAAAGTATCTTCCACTGATTAGATCATTGCTTTTATTCCAACTCAAAGACCCAGAATGTGATTATAAAGATTTAGGAAGCTACCTAGTAATGATGCTAATGTTGTTCCTTTGGTTCATCTGAGAATCCTGCCTTCTCCAGGTTTGTGAAAACTGTACCCCAGCAGGAAGAGATGCTGTCTAAATACACACCATGTAGGATGACATCGTTGTGTGGGGTAGGACGTTCCACCAAAGGAGTTTGCTCCTCACTACCTCTTGGCTTTGACCGACGTAGCCTGGCTTCTGGATTTGGCTGCACCATGAGTGGCTCAAGCCGCTTTTTTCTCTGCTTCTTCTCCAGCAGTGCTCTCTAGGAAACAATTGTGATATTATAGCCAGGAGAGTTATGACAAGACCTAGCTACGTTGAACATTTAGTTTTTCACTCACAAAATCGCTTGTAAATTAATTTTTCTCACTTAAGAAAGGGGAAGATTGAGGCAAAGAGAGGAGCAAGAATTCATTCATTTCATTTAATAAATATTTACTGAACACCTATAAAGATCTATTTAAACTGATACAAATTCATTTCTGGCCAAGCTGAGGCCATGAGCCAAGTCTACTTAAAATATATATAGCAATTATCATATTATTATCAAAGCATGATCACAAGTTTAAAATATATAAACACATACGCATAGGGGAAAAGACGAAGGAACACAGCAATGCTGATTTCTTTGGGTACTAGAATACGGATAATTACTTTCCTTTATCTAGTTTTCTATATTTTCTAACTTTTGTAATTGGAAGAAAAAAGTAAAACTCACTATTCTCTAAACCCCAAATTATTTTCATGTTTTAATCAGCTAAAGAGCAATAAATTTTGCTTTCTTGCTCATTTTTACATAATTAGAAATCAAACAAATTAGGGCGAAGGGTAAGAAGGAAAAAAAACGGCAGTTGGAACATTCAAATAGAAAGCAATCAACTCCAAGGATAAAAGCAAGATAAAGAGTATGGTGGCAAGAAAAGTCAGGAAAAAAGCATCAGAGACTATAAGAAACAATCCAATGAGATGGAAAGGAAGGTACTACGAGCACATATACTATTCTCAGGCTTTGACAAGTAAGACTTTATAATACACAGAAATTATAATGGATCTGGGATATCTCAGAATAGGAGAGTGCCAAGCCTCAAGCTAAAAAATTAAGTCATGATTTAAAAGCAAAGATATTATAACCTACTTTATTGTTTCTTCTTAGGCAAAAAGCCATCTGTTTTTTTTTTTCATTGATACTGCTTTTAAAAAGTGCCACTAGGGGCCGGCCCCGTGGTGTAGCGGTTAAGTGCGTGCGCTCCGCTGCTGGCAGCCCGGGTTCAGATCCCAGGCACGCACCGATGCACCACTTGTCAGGCCATGCTGTGGCGGCATCCCATATAAAGTGGAGGAAGATGGGCACAGATGTTAGCTCAGGGCCGGTCTTCCCCAGCAAAAAGAGGAGGATTGCCATGGATGTTAGCTCAGGGCTGATCTTCCTCTCTCACACACACACACACACGCACAAAGTGCCACTAGGAAGAAGAGTTACTCCAAGGGGGTGAGACTATCAGTAGGAAAGGAAGTGTGTTCTTCCTGAACTGGGCTGATGAAAGCTTGCAGATTAATCCAGAAGACACAGAAGAAATAGAACTATTCTTTTTTACCCAACTTTGTATATAAGGAAAAAAGACTGGGGAGCTAAGATAATATGCCAAAATGGACTATACCATCAAGAATCAATAGAGAGCTTAGAGCAGGTTGGGAAGGAATAATTGGGGCTTTTGAGATTATTTTCAGATTCATAAATTAATATGAACAGATGAACCTTAATGTACCAGGAACACTAAATACATAGGAGGCTGTAATGAGGTCCTCCCCATTGAACATGCTGATACGGTTCTTCTAGCAACTAAGAAGTCTTATATAATGGATAAGTAACCTGCCTAAAGAGATGATAAATATGAAGTATAAAGACATGAGAAACTGCCGCATCTTATCAATGTGGCCACAGCTATTTAGTCACATACAGTCTCTTAACTGTGAAACAAAAACACAAGCTACAGCTAATCCATTTTATTAACATGTAAAGAAAAAAATATTCTATAGAGGAGTATTCTGCTTGTGATCGAGAAAGAGGAGGCCAAGGAGCTAGAATTTGACAGAGTTGATCCAGCCAGTCCAAGAAAGAAAAATACTGAATCTGGTAGACAAGAGAATTCTATTTACTGGGAGAGCATACCCTCTTTGAGAACAGGAAACTATACAAGGCTTCCCCACCACTTTGATGAAATATCCCTGGGGACTATGTAATTTCATTTCTGATTCCTTGCTTACCAATCAGCCTTCTAATTTTCAATTTAACTGCTTAGGCATCACATTCCCAGGAACAGAGAATCATGAACAGTAGAGATGAACGCACATTGAAGAAGTTAAGAGTTCTCATTGTAAATTAATAAATAATAAAGTTATTATTTATATATTATAATATAATATATTAATTAAATATAAATTATTAATTAATAAAGTAATTAATAAATTAATAACTGACTGTCGTGAGTTTGTGCCAAAGGACCTGGGTACATCTAGCTTCACTGACAAAACCAAGTTCTTAGACTTGTAAAGGGCAGACACTCTTGGCCACAGTGATTCTATCAAGGTATCTGGTGAAGCCTTTCTCTATCAACTTCAACACCAGTCAAACTCATTTAGATCAACAACTTAAGAAACACCACAATACTTCAGAACCACAGCTACTACATGACAGCATTGACTATATCCCACTATTGTCCAAGTTTGTAAATAAGAAAAAAATCATAAAATATCTACATACAGGCAAATTGCCATCTTGGTGAAAACTGTCACCTGATTTAGCACTCTAATCACCCTCCCGTGTTGAGATGGGGGAGAAGAGGGGTGCTAATTGAGTTTCAATGTAAGAATGCCAACTCATATTTCATTCACGGTTTACCTTCCCTGAAAAGCCAGGAGTGCTTTAAGGGTGGCTGCATATACAAAAGGACTCCTTACAATGTCAGGGAAGGTCAGGGGAGTCAGGAAGACAGCCAAAGGTGAATGTTCGATGCCCTAAATGCAATTAAAATATGCTGCCTTCATAAGTGTCACATAAATTTAAATTTCCCAATTCCCTTGGAAATTGAACAGTAACTCAAAGAATCCATCTTCTCCAGAATCTGGTGGTATGTCCAACTGTCATTCCCTGGGGGCAATTGAATGGTGATGCCAAAATAAATGAGGAAAAAAAGGAGTCTGAATGGGGGGAAATTTTCCATTAAAGGGCTTTATCCAATAAAATAATCAAGCTCAGGCAAGCCTCAAATTAATAGTACCTTGGTTTCACTGATTGTCAATTTTCCAAGGACTCCCTAGAGATGATGGGCTAGTTACATTACGACAGTCTCGGAATAGACTGGCTGACCACAAGGTACAAAGAGCAAGATCAGAATGTTGCCTGAGGTCTATCAGTTTGGCTAGAAATAACTAACCTTCCTGGCACACAAAGTGAGCTCATAGGAAAATAAGACTAAAAGTTTTAGAAGACTTTTTAAAACATCATTTCAATGCACTAATAACTGCCTCTCTCAGAAGGGTATGTACAAATAGATGAGCAACCCAACCCAAAGGGATTATGCTGTACTTTAATCCATTGTCCACTAGATGGCATAAATGTTCTCTACCTACTGTGCATCCATGCCTGAGTAACATCACTGACAGAGCCTAAAAATCTTTACATTCTGTAGCCAGCAAAGGCATCCACATACCCTAAAAATATTAGTACTCTAGTGATACCAGTAAAAATAAAAGCAAAATATACTCGATGGGAAAGAATAGTTTTTCAATAAATGACACTGGGACAACTGGATATCCACATGCAAAAGAATGAAGTTGGACCCCCATCTCACACCATATATAAAAATTAACTCAAAACAGATAATAGAAAGTGTAGAACTCTGAGAAGAAAACATAGGAGCAAGTCTTTGTAACCTTGGGTAGGCAATGGTTTCTTAGATATGATACCAAAAGTACAAGTAAAAGAAAAAAATTGATAAATTAAATTAAAAATAAATTAAAAATTTTCTGTTTGTGCTAAAAATGACACCATCAAGAATGTAAAGAGGGCTGGCTCCACGGCCTAGTGGTTAAGTTGGCCATGCTGCACTTTGGCGGCCCAGGTTCAGTTCCCAGGGCAGACCTACACCTTTTGTCAGTGGCCAAGCTATGGCAGGGACCCACATACAAAATAGAGGAAGACTGGCACAGATGTTAGCTCAGGGCAAATCTTCCTCAAGCAAAAAGTGGAAGATTGGCAACAGGTGTCAGCTCAGGGCAAATCTTCCTCAGCAAAAAAAAAGTAAAAAGACAATCCAAAGAATTGGAGAAAATATTTATAAATAATATTTTTGATAAGGAACTTGGATCTAGACTATATAAAGAACTCTTACAACTCAACAATAAAAAGACAATAAACCGGGCCGGTCCCGTGGCTTAGCGGTTAAGTGCGCGCGCTCCGCTGCTGGCGGCTCGGGTTCAGATCCCGGGTGCGCACGGACGCACCGCTTCTCCAGCCATGCTGAGGCCGTGTCCCACATACAGCAACTAGAAGGATGTGCAGCTATGACACACAACTATCTACTGGGGCTTTGGGGGGAAAATAAATAAATAAAAAAATCTTAAAAAAAAAAAGACAATAAACCAATTTCAAAATGGGCAAAGGATTTGGATAGAATTTCTCCAAAAAGGACATACAAATAGCCACTAAGTACGTTAGAAAAAATGCTCAACATCATTAGTCATTAGGGAAAAGCAAATCAAGACTACAATGAGATACCACTCCATACCCACTAAAATGGCTATAATCAAAGACAGACAAGAATAACTGTTGAGAAGGATGTGGAGAAACTGGAAGCCTCATACATTGCTGGTGGGAATATAAAATGGTTCAGTGACTTTGGAAAACAGTCTGGCAGTTCCTTAAAACGTTAAACACAGAGTTATATGACTCAGCAATTCCACTCCTATTACCCAAGGTATAGTAGGTATACCTTGGTATACCTATACTTAGCTATATTACCCAAGAGAAATGAAAATATGTCTACACAAAAACTTGTACACAAATGTTCAGAGCAGCATCATTCGTAATAGCCAAAAGTAGAAATACCCCAAACGTCCATTAGCTCATGAATGGATAAACAAAATGTGGTATATCCACAAAATGGAACATCACTCAACAATAAAAAGGAAGGAAGGGGCCAGCCCAGTGGCATAGTGGTTAAGTTCGTGTGCTCCGCTTCGGTGGCCCGGGGTTCGTGGGTTCAGATTCCGGGCATGGACCTACGCACCACTCATCAAGCCATGCTGTGGCAGCAACCCACATACAAAATAGAGGAAGACTAGCACAGATGTTAGCTCAGGGACAATCATCCTCAAGCAAAAAGAGGGAGATTGGCAACAGATGTTAGTTCACGGCCAATCGTTCTCACCAAAAAAAAAAGAATGAAGTACTGATATATGTTACAACATGGATGAACCTTTTGCTAAGTCAAAGAAGCCAGACACAAAAGACTACATATTGTATGATTCCATTTATATAAGATCTAAAAATCATTTATATACTGTAACTGGGTATATATTTATAGTATGAGAATTATTTCTCAATAAAGCTTTTCAAAAATCTATATAGGACAAAAATAGCCATGTGTAAATTATCTGAAAATCGAGGATTTTTAAACATTAAATTCTGAGATTATACTATCAGGAAAACAGGATAGATATGAAAGAAACTAATCTAATCAATAATACTACAACCTGGATGATGAAAGAATGAATTAAAAGAAGGGAAATGGCCTATGTGGAAATAAGGTAACGTAGGACTAAAGAGCAAGATTTACCTGGTGGCTCTAGTACTATCCAAGGCAGAGTGTCCTGGCCAGACACTCACGTATCCCATTCCGTTGGCAGGTATATCCCTTTTGTAGAGGTGTATTAATTATACCATCACACAATGACAGTTCCCATAAAGCACATTTTACAAATTCTACTTGCTCTGATTTCAAACTTACCAAGCCACTTTCTGATTGCAAACAGACTTTTCTAATGGAAACATGATGATCAGCTGATTCTGGTATATAGTTCATTAGAAATTAATAAATTAACCCTCTGATTTAGATTCATCTCTTATGATACTGGTTAGTATGAACCAATCCTCAGGAGACTGATTAACTTTGGTTGCTCTTAGCAAACTATCTCTCATCCTACAAAGCTCATGACCAGTGACTCTCAACCATGGGGGCATTCCCATTGCAGAATTCCTAAGAGGTTAATCTACTATACACCTCAGGCAGGGGTGGGAAGAGTGAGGTTCCCCAGCCTCTCCCACGTCCACTGACAATCTGTCAGAGGAAGCCACTGTCATTGATGGGAGCGCACTGACCCTTCAGGTGGGCTGGCATACCCTGGACTATGAGCCTCCCACCCAGATATGGCCAGCCTAGCAGGCCCAGACTGAGCAGCAACTGCCTAGCTTTCCTCAATACCTCCATCTCAGCTCTAACTTCCATACTCTAAGATCCTTTCCAACATTCTATTATTTTATCCAATCTGATCTCACTTTACAGATGAAATAACTGGGGACCACAGAGTTTGAAGATCTTACCTAAAATCACACAGCTAATTCATGGCAGGGCTAGAACTGGAACCAAAGTCTTCTGATTCCCAGCCCAATATGTTATTCATTATGTGGTGCTGCCTTTCTTGTTAGAGGCCACTTGAATGCTCAGCTTGCATTTGCAGAAACTCCCTTACCCCCTGCTGAGTAACCTCCTTCTTATGCACATGGCAGCATTTCAGGGCTCTAACGGTATTCTCATAGTTGGTATTCTCATAGTTAACACCAAAACTTATACTCAAGTCCAAAGGGATTTTTTTCAAATTAAAAAAAATTCCTATAAAATTTTATGTCTTCATATTCACTGACTATCTCTGGAAGGATACATTAGAAGTCAGTGATAGGGGCCGGTCCGGTGGCGCAAGCAGTTAAGTGTGCGCGCTCTGCTGCGGTGGCCCGGGGTTCGCCAGTTCGGATCCTGGGCGCATACTGACACACTGCTTGGCAGGCCATGCTGTGGCGGCGACCCATATAAAGTGGAGGAAGATGGGCACATGTGTTAGCCCAGGGCCAGTCTTCCTCAGCAAAAAAAGAGGATTGGCAGATGTTAGCACAGGGCTGATCTCCTCACAAAGAAAAAAAAAAAAAAAGAAGTCAGTGACAGCCTCTGGTAAAGAACTGAGCCAAGCAGAGGGGAAGAGATTTTTCATCAAATGTCTTTTTTGTATTATTTAAATTCTTACCAAGTGCTTTTATTACCTACATAACAACATGATTGTAAAAATCTGTGCTATAAAAAGGCTTACGAAATCCCAACATTTATACCACATACATACGACATGCAGCATTCTCGCTGAAAAGAATAAAAATTACAAAATGTTTGAGCCATCTTTTAAAAAAAATCCAGAAAATGTATCTATATACAAAATTCAAAAACTTATTACTTGGTAGATGATCATAGATTTCATTTAATGTTAGCAAGGGATGTACCAATTAGCTTTATAAATATAAATCAAACAGTGATCTAAAATTCTGTGGGCATTTCTCCCTAAATAGAGTTTGCTAGGCAATGGAGAGTAGAAAATAAAGGGCTCATTCCAATTATTCTGATCTTTAGGGGAAGGGAAAATAAATATATAATCAGAATTTTCCCCATGATCCCAGGAAGATTAGTTTCTTTCCTAGTTTTATTTTATTTATTTATTCAGTATTAGAAAGAATTGTTTATTTTACATCCCTCACGGACAACTTCAGATACTGGATGCAGAACCTCAGCTGGGTCTCTGCTTACAGGCAGGACGCCCTGGGAGGAAGACACGAGGCAGCCATCTGTAACTGCTGAGAAGTTTGTTGCCATTTTCCTACTCCGTTCTGCAAAACTAGATTTGCTGAAAATGTTCCCCGTCTCTTTAAAGGAAGCGGGTTGGAAGGAGGCTGCGGCGGTATATTAACCCCAGCAGCGGTTTCAAGGCAGCCTATCTAGCACAGCCTGGCTCCACCAGGTCAGGTCACTCGCTGGGTCCCCAAGCTTCGGTGTCGGCGCGCCCTGAGGCACCCCCAAGCCCGACAGTGCATTTCACTGACCCATCCCGAGCTGTACACACGTGCAGACGCAGGTGACCGGCCGGTGGGGTGGGCCTGGCCCTCCTAGTGTGAGGGCCGGCTGTCCAGGCATGCCAGCGGCTGGAGGCACGCACGGTCTGCCCTGGTCATGGACTGAGCCCGGGTCAGCTGGGGCTCAGCGCCCCGGGCCCAGGCCCAGGGCCCTTGTCCACGCCGGCCAGCCCCCTGGTGTCCCCGCAGAGTGTGGCGGAGCTGTGCAGGTCACAGGCCCGGCCGGCGGCGCCGGACTCGCAGCCGCGCTGTGGTGGTTGTTCCGGACCCCGAGGCCGAGCGAGGCGGCTAGAGCCACAGCGGAGGCCGAGCGAGGCGGCTAGAGCCACAGCGGGGCGCCTGCCGGAGCGCCGGGCTCCATCCTCTGCAGGACTTTGAGAGGAGCACGAGAGGAGGCCCGGACAGGGGCAGGACGATGGCGCAGCTGACGGCGGAGGCCATCACCGCCCCCGTGAATCCCAAGGCCTCCGAGGGCGGCATGGGCTTGCACACAGCGGATGCCTGAAGACCACGGGGCCACGCTCCCCTTCCAGGCACAGGTGAGGAGGCCAGACCCCACCATCCTGCGGCCTGAGGGGCAGGGGAACCCGATGACAGTACCCACGGAAGCGCCATCGCCACGAAGGACTGGGAAGGTGGCCTGCTGGGCCGGTGCACTTGAGCGCATGCTTGTGCTGCTCCCGGGCGGCGCGGCCCCAGTCCTCCGCCTTGTCCGGCGGTGTCCTGCCTTTCCCAAATTTTAATGATTCCACCTTTAAAGGAATTTATTATGCTAGAAGTCCCGTTATTAATTCCAACAGTAACATAAAGAAGCAAGACACAACTTGAGAGGTATTTTTAGTCACCTATGGAGTCTAGACACTCTGATTGCTAATGGTTCTACATAGGTAGACTAGAGCTATAGAATTTCCTGCATTAGAAAACATTCATATGAAAAAGCAAATATGAAAGCAATATATGTTGAGTATAGGTTCTAAACTGACTAATCATGATATCACAGCATATAACAACACAAAACTGTTCCTTTATTCCTTCCTTCCTTCCAATATTTAATGAAGGATTATGTGCCCAGCCCTATGCTGGGAACTTCTGATATAATGGTCGTCATAAATAGACTCAGTTCCTGTTCTCATGGAGCTTAGCCTAGTGGAGAAACAATCATATATATCAATCATTGCCAAAAAAACACACAAAAAAATGTGTAACTGAAAATTGGGACCAGAGCTCTGAAGAAAATTATTCTGTAGGCAATGGAGGTTTTTAATTAGCAAAGCAGCATGTTCAAATCTGCATTTTAGGATAAGAAAAAATCTTGTAGTTCAATGAAACTACAGTGTAGAGAGGTATTTAAGGCAGCAGGACCAAATTACTACATAGAAATACAATGTTAACATTCTTCTAATTCTTAGGAAAGGTGCCAAGGAATTTTCAGTGATTATAAATCCAAGGCCAGTTTTATTGCTGATGTCCTAAAAGCACTTTGGTCTTGCGGTAGCCCAGGGCCGTGGTTCAGCAAACACTAACTACAGACACCACTGAGTGAGTAACAGCAGAGCCTCCTTCTTTCCAGTCTTCTTTCCATGGCCATGCCAAGACTTCAGAGTCCAGACCATCAGTATCATGGTCAGTACAGCTGCCCACTTATTTCAAAAGAGGAGACTGCTCACCTGATTATCTAGTTTCAGCTGTCGAAGCTTCATGGTCTCATCTTCAAAGGCACTGTTTTTAAAAAAATGAAAAGAAAGCATGTAAAGAGAAAATCCTTTTTTTTTTTTTGTGAGGAAGATCAGCCCTGAGCCAACATCCATTGCCAATCCTCCTCCTTTTTCTCCCCAAAGCCCCAGTAGGTAGTTGTATGTCATAGCTGCACATCCTTCCAGTTGCTGTATGTGGGACGCGGCCTCAGCATGGCCAGGGAAGCGGTGCGTCGGTGCGCGCCCGGGATCCGAACCCGGGCCGCCAGCAGCGGAGCGCGCGCACTTAACCGCTAAGCCACGAGGCCGGCCCTTACTTAATGTTTTTAATCCTCATTCACGTATTTTTAAATCCTAGCTTTATGTATTGTGGGAGATCAAAACTGGCCACCCTGAAATATATCTCTTTACCTTGATTATTTTCTCTGACAGATATTTGACCTCCTCCACTAATTGCCTAAAGGAATTTAACTCTGGGTATGGACAGACTGGCAGGGTCCCCGCTAAACCCATTCTTAACAAAATTCTGTTTACCACAAATTTACATTTGTAAAGGTATCTCCCTCTGTGTACTGGGAAGGGGGGGGTGATGATCTTATCTCTGGAAACTCTTATCAGGAGGGAAGGAGAGGACTTAAATCTACATACCCTTGATTACTATGCTTTCTGTTAATCCCCCATAGCTGTCTCCTCCCCCACCCCCAACATCCTCCTTTGTCTACCTGAATATGCTATATAAGGTGAAAACCTTCGCCATTTGTTGAGAAACTCAGTTTCCCTGGTTTCTCCCATGTATACATATTATTAAACTTGGTATTATTTTCTCCTGCTAACCTGTCTTTTAATTATTTGGCCAGACATAAGAACCTTAAGGGAAAGGGTGGAGGGGGATTCTCCCTCTTCCCCAACAGTATACAGTACTAGAATATTATTAGTATTCAGTGGATATATATTAGTATCAATTTGAAAAAGTTCTACATAAAACAACTAAGACAAAAATATTATGAACATTATATAGGAAAGCATAAGTGTAAAAAAATTTACTGTTAGGGACTAGCATTTTCAACAGCTACTGCTCTTAATCTGCTTATCCTCCAACTCATTCTGCCCTAATCACTAAACCAGAATTGCAAAACCCTCTAGGCATGGAAAAAAATCATTCTATCCGCCCCCACCCCAAAATGCTAAAACCTCCTCAATAATGCTAAATTCTGACACACAACTAAAGTTCTCAAACATTTCTCTTAAGGCCTCAACAGAGAAGAAACCAGGTGTGTCTTCAATGCCCCATCTTGACACAACTTAATTCCTTTCATCAAGCCTGGGCAAGCTGAACAGACAATTTAATAAACAGGGTATAATCAACACATTTTGACCTGAACAGAGAGGCACTAAAAAGACGCTATATAATTATAACATTTAGATACCTCCTATACATCAAAAGCTATACTTTCTCTGAGCTCTAGTTTTAATTCAGCAGAAATAATAAAGATATTTTATAAACTTATGTTAAATCTGAACTAGAATTTCCAGTCCAAACTGAAATGTGATTTTACTAAATTTGCATTTTCTCCTTTAATATTCTCTTTCCTTCATTTCAAACGAAGTTGTTGAATACAAGCCTAACCAAGCCTGGTTAGTAAATCTATACAAAACAGAAAAAAATTCCTATAGAGTAAAAGAAATGGAATTACTATTTTTCCTCCCTTTTTTCTCATAGGAAATTTCCTATTTACTTGGCACAAACAGGGAAAATGCTAGACATACATCTTGGAAAAACACAGATCTATCACTCAAGCGTGGCACATGATAATGCCCACAGAACACCATTCTCTTGAACTGCTTTCCAGCCAAAGTCTAAATTGAAGATACCCACAACGCTTTACCACTGCAGGGTACAAACAAAGAATTTTCTGAGAATGTGTCCTACCTACCCATCTTTGTTTATGGATACCAAAAAGTTTTCCAAATTTCTTTATCACTTATTCACCTAACAAATATTTGGCAAAAGTCTGCTAAAATGACATGTCTATTCATCAACTCCTATATACACACTGAAAACAACACAAGTATCTATCAATAGTCAAAATGAATAATAAAATACAACAGAATGTTATACATCAATGAAAATGAATGAACTTCACCCCACCACAAATCCATGAATTGACTCTAAACATAATGCTAAACAAAAGAGGAAACATACAAAACATTTATTAAGCTTCCTTTTATATAAAGTTAAAAAAATGATCAATTAGATTGCAAACAGAATACACACATAGAACAAAATGATAATAAAGAAAAAGAAAATGAATATCTCAAAAGTCAGAGCAGACACATAGATCTATGGCCAATCGATTTTTGACAAGGGTGCCAAGACCATTCAATGAGGAAAGAATAGTCTCTTCAGCAAGTGGTGCCAGACAACTAGATATCCACATACAAAAGAATGAAGTTGGACCTCTATCTCACATCATACACAAAAATTAACTCAAAATGGATCAAAGACCTAAACGTAAGAGCTAAAACTATAAAACTCTTCTTTAGAAGAAAACACAAGGGCCGGCCCTGTGGCTTGGTGGTTAAGTACGCGCGCTGCAATGCTGGTGGCCTGGGTTCGGATCCCGGGTGCGCATCGAGGCACCACTTCTCCGTCCATCCTGAGGCCGAGTCCCACATACAACAACTAGAAGGATGTGCAGCTATGACATACAACTATCTACTGGGGCTTTGGGGGGAAAAAATAAAATAAATAAAATCTTTAAAAAAAAAAAAAAAAAAAAAGAAAACACAAGAGTAAATCTTCATGACATTGGATTAGGCAATCAATTCTTAGATATGACACCAAAAGCATGAGCAACAAACGACAGATAAATTAGACTTCATCAAAGTTAAAAACTTTCGTCACCAAAGGACATTATCAAGAAAATGAAAAGACAGCCCACAGAATGTGAGAAAATATTTGCAAATCATATAGCTGATAAGGGTCTAGTATTCAGAATATAGAACGAACTCTTAAAACTCAACAACCAAAAGACAAACAACCAATTTTTTCAAATGTGCAAAAGACCTAAATACACATTTCTCCAAAGTAGATACACAAATGGCCAATAAGCACATAAAAAGATTCTGGACATCATTAGTCATCAGGGAAATGTAAATCAAAACCACAATGAGATATCACTTCATACTCACTAGGATGGCTATTAATAAAAAAGACATAATAACAAGTGTTGGCGAGGATATGGAGAAATCAGAATCCTCATACACTGCTGGTGGGAATGTAAAATGGTGCAGACACTTTGGAAAACAGGCTGGCAGTTCTTCAAATCATTAAACATAAAGTCACCATATGACCCAGAAATTCCACTCCTAAGAATATATCCAAGAGAAATGAAAAAATACACACCCACACAAAAACTTGTATACATTTTTTTTCTTTATAGCATATTATTTCTTTAACAGAAAGAATTTTTGAAATAGTATATGTGTTACAAGAAGATTGCTGGTGCCAAACCCTTTTTGTATGGATTATTTTTTTCTTTCTAATGTGTTTCTATATTGATTCTAAGAATAATGCATACCTATTTTGTAAATTTTGTAAAAATGTATAAAGAAAAGAAATGGTCTTTTCATAATCCTGCAATCTTGAGATGACCACTACTAACTGCAGCAAACATCTTTCCAAATATTTCTATAAATTTATATTTATATATTTGAAATAATATTTATGATTTTTGCATCATTTTAACTTAAGATTATACCATAAGCATCTTTTCATGTTATTATAAAGGTTTTTTAAATATAATATTAAATGGCTATATAATTATCTACTGTACATTCTACAAATTTTTTTTATTGTGGTAAAAAACACATATAAAATTTAACATCTTAATTATTTTTAAGTGTACAGTTAAGTATATTTACATTGTTGTGTGTATACAAATTTTTATGGAAGCATTATTCACAACAGCCAAAAGGCAGAAACAACCCAAATGTCCATCAATTGATGAATGGATAAACAACATCTGGTCTATTTATACAATCGCCACAAAATAAGTATTGAAACATGGGAGAATCTTGAAACATTATGATAGGTGAAAGAAGCCTGTCACAAAAGACCACATATTATATGATTCAATGTTTATAAAAGTCCAGAATAGACAAACTTATAGAGACAGAAAGTAGATTAGTAATTGTTTAGAGTTGGGGGGAATGGGAGTTGGGGGATGATAGCTAAAGGGTATGGGGTAGATTTTGAGGTAATAAAAATGTCCTAAAATCAACTGTGGTGATAGTTGCACATATCTGTGAATATACTAATAACCATGGAGGTGTGTATACTTTAAATGAGTGAATTATATGGTATATGAATTATATCTCAATAAAACAAAAAAAAAAAGAATCCATGAGTCTATACTCATTCTAAATAAGTAAATAAATAAAGGGCACAACAAAGATCTTCTTTACAGATTAATGCCAACTAGTAAGTATAGAATGAATGACAGAAGTAGAATATCACCATTTTATAACCACCATATTAATAATTGAGTCTTGCAAGAAACATCCATGGATGCTATAACCACTGGGATATTCAACACAATCTCAAGTATCTCCCCACAGATTATATTAACTACAAAGAGGAAAAGGTAACTGATGATGATGAAACCTGGCAGACAACCCCTTAACGGAGTGATGGGGTACAGCAACTATGTTATTGGGCATCCCATGATGTGAGGTACTGAGAAGAACACAATGTAATGTATGTAATATTCCTGCCAACAACGTTTAACCTAAATCTACTCAGGAGGAAATAAACCCGAAATTCTGCAAGACAGAAGAGATGTAAGAGATTTCTGGCAACCAAACATAACATATAATCCTTGAATTCCGGACCAAAACATACACACAGTAAAGACTATTAGGGGTGCTCTGAGAATATGTGACCATGAACTGCACATTGGACAAAACTATTATATTAATGTGAAGTGTCACACATGTGATAATAGTATTGTGGTCATGTAGGAG